ACCATAAAGAATGAACAATACAAACTTAACAGAAAAATACTGTTATGGCAGCTGATGATAAAGCAAAGATCTTGTTTCCATGAACTATATAGTCTCTCCATCAGATTACCATATATACATGCATATCAGCCCATCTGCGTATAAGCCGACCCTTAATCAAAATACCATGAAAAATGTGCCACCCATGGATAAGCTGACCCACATTTTTCATGATATTTTGGTTAAAAATTTGAGAGTTCGCTTATACGTGGATGGGTTTATTTGTGAGTATATACAGGAAATACAAGTACTTTAAAAAAGTATTACTGTATGTACTTGCAGATAAGCCCATCCGTGGATAAGGTGAACCCCATTTTTTAGGTTTTGGCACCTAAATTCTTGGCTTATCTATAAGTATATACGGTACTCTGAGTTAAAAGCATTCATGTACATGGGCCCTATTCCACAGCACTTAATTAGATTGCAGGAAGCTGAATCAGTTGTGTACAAAGTTAAGCCAACTCTGTTTCAACTGTGTCACCAAAATACCAGAGCCCAGTCAACTGCCCCATTTCGCCCATCAGGTCGTCCAAAATGAAGCAACTGGGGAAGAAAAAGCCATCCTCTCCATTAGAGACCTCACTGCCAAGTACTGCAGCAAGAACATCCTTTCAAATGCTGCTTAGTTGTAATGGTCAAGCCACAGGGACCCTTATCTGCTCGGCCAACAGGAAAAGGGCTGGTGATGTCATGAAGCCTTACCTAGACTCTCCTAAACCAAAGCATCCCAAGGATTTCTTGGAGAAAGTAGGCAGGAAGACCATATTCCACAAATGTGACTTCTGACCCAGTTAACCTACTCCAGTGATGCAGAACTATCAGTACGGCAAGTTGGCCAGGCTGGTGTCTTACTGGGTCAAGGATTTCACAAGAGCAGGGCTATGGTGTCATGCGAGGCCAAAATTGCTATCAGAAGAAAATAAACTTTTTTTTTCTTCTGATGATGATTGTCTAGTATTATTGACCAACCTTTTGTCTTCGGGTCATGTTATTTTACTAGTTTTAAATCAGTATTGTGTTTGATGTTAACATACACACTTGAAAGTGTTTCCCATCTTTTAATATGATTTAAAAACAATATTCTAGGATCAACAAGAACACTCTATTTTCAAGCTCCTAATAATCCATGTGCTACATTCCAAAACATTACTTTACATAGGAGTGAAAATCTGCCATGCTGACTTGAGAATATTCTTGGAAAGCCAAATAGCAGCGTAGTATTAATGATAAATCGTGCCACTAGCCGGTGCTGTTGTTACATTAAATCATATCGTGATTAGAAACTGGTGCAGGGTATGTCTCCGTCTCTGGCTGTCGGACTGTGTTCCTGCCCACAACAATCCCCTGGAGTCAACCTGAACTGTGGCCCAGGAAATCCTTTAACATGAATAACCTTGGAAGCTATCCTGGCCATTTTTTTTTTTAAGAACATGTTCCTTCTCTACACAAACTTCTGACTTTTGTTGTGCAATGTGAAAAGGACAGTTGCTTCCATGATTAATTGCAGCAAAAAATAGTAACAAAAATGCAATAAAATAAATAAATGATCAAACCAAATTCTGGCACGTTTTAGCTTCACTTAGAAACATGTGTATGAAGAAGGGACCTTGGAGTTATGATGCTTTTGGCCTCAGCTCTGCCTTCTTAGAGAATGACAAATTACAGCAATTAAGAAGTTTTGGATCCATCTGATTCCAAAGCTAAACATGAAGAATTGTGTCTTCCCCTCTTGTCTAAAAACACCAACAGAGAATTTTTTTTTGTTTAATAATGTTTATTATTTTTTTCACATATTGTCCTAGGACAGATTGGCGATATAACTTTATCAAATGGGGCAAACAGACTAATATAAATACAGTGAAAACTATAGGAGGCACGTTTGCATGCACTCCTCACAAGTAGCTTGTTTTCCATCTGTCTCCTCGATGCTTACAAAATGTACTTTTCATACAAAAAGTATAACTGAATCAAAAACTAAATATTACAACAAAAGGCTGAAATCCTAAACATCCTTACTTGAAAGCCACCTCCACCAAAAATCAAGGTTTATTTTAGAGAAAATATGCTTAGGATAAGAGTGTGAATGTGAAATATTTTAAGAGTTCCCATTTAACTTAAGGAACACATCTGGCCAATTGTAAAATGTACTGTTCCTCCCCCCAAAACTGTTTTACTGGTGCCACCACTGATGAAAACAAAGTTTGAAACAAAATATTGGGAATTAAAAAAAATAATGCCCATAAGCAATATATCTATATCTATACATATAATATAAAAATATCTCTGTCTTTAAAAAGAATACAAGGACAGAACACCATTTGTTTAAATAGGATTGATTTCTTTCAATGGCAATCACTCGCGCACTCATCCTTACTCAATAGCAGGCAGAAATCACCTCGCACACGTTAAGTCCATTGCACTTTGCCAGGCCAGATCATTCAAGTATTAAGAAGCCCCTCCTGAGAGAAGGCCCTGCCAATTCCATGCCAGGTGGGGAAGAAAGGGAGGGCAGTCACTACGAAGTAGAGAAGAGCCAGTCACCAGCACCACTGCCACCACCACCTAACTAACGTGATGAAAGAGTGCCTCTGTAGGTTCCATCCAGTCCTTATTCCACAAGATAATTAGGGAGGGATGATGCAAAGCTTGGCCGCCTGTTCCTGCCAGTAGACTGAGCCCTTGGAGGGTATTTGCCGTCCCCCTTTTCGCCATCAGTGGGGCAGCTGCAGCAACTCTTTTATCCTTCCCAAGTCTGGGAGCACATGGATTGGCATCAAAGTGGACTGTGGGCTCAGCCAAACCTGGCCACCAGCTCCTATCCTTGGAGCGAGAGAGCGCCGCCTGCGCCCGTAGCCTAACGGGCTGAGCTTTTTGGGAGGAGCAGAGATGTCCTTGTCCTTGTCAGTAAGGTGGAAGAGCGTGTTGGCTAGGCTCTGCAGATTGCACGTCCCCAACCTGCAAGTCGCACGCACGCCTGAGAGGTTCTGGAGGTGGCGCTTCACACGGACACGGCTCGTCTCAAGGCTGGGGGGGGGAAGGAAAGTGATACGAGAGGTCATGAGTGAAGGGCGAGAGAGAAACCACTACCTAGCAAGAGGCGAGACAGAGCCGCC